CGCACGAAGCCGCGCATATCGAATGCGGACGTGTGTATGTACAACTTGCACTACCCCCAAGAGGCGGACTGCTCCGTAAAAGCATGCGCAGACGACGAAGTCGTCGTCGTCGTTTGGCAGGTTGTGTGTCGTTTCTGGAAATACTGGCCATGATCATGAACAAACAAAACCATCCACACCCACACCGAGGAAACTTGGGCCGCTGGCCGACCTACCGCCCGCGGTGGGGATGGGGGCCGTCTCCTTCGGGGTTCGCAGCACCCATTCCTTCCTTTAGGGGGTGGGTTGGGACAGCTAGCTGACCCTTGAGGAAACCAAACGGTAACAATACCGCTACTCCACGGACCTCCCCCAGGTTGTGCTCTAACCAGGACTTCGAGGCGAATCCAGCCGTGGCGACGAGGGCCTCCCAGGAGGCCCGGAAACGCGAAAACGAAGGAGGGATAGCAGTATCGGAACCTTGTTCCTCCTCTGATTTAATGGAGGATGACGATTAATAAATGACCGGGGGTCGTGTTCACGCGGCGGCGCCCGGGATGACGATTAGAAAAAACAGGCCGCGGGCTGGAAGACTATTTTTTTATCGTTCTCCTCCAATCAGAAAATTGTGCAGAGACAGCGGAAAACTATGCTTTAAATCGTTCTCTCCCATTTGTTTTTACTAATCGTCATCCCGCATTAAGGAGTGGTTGGGACAGCTTACCCTGTCCTGGTCGGGACTTGGATGGCACGGCCCACGGGTCCATGGGACTCTTTTTGATCAGGTTTCTTGGCCGGGGGCGTGGCGACAAGGGCGAGAGGGGGCGACGTCTCTTCTGAGAGGGGCTCAGAAACCTCCATGGGACTCGTTTTGATCAGGTTTCTTGGTCGGGGGCGTGGCGACAAGGGCGAGAGGGGGCGACGGCTCTTCTGAGAGGGGCTCAGGAACCTCTAACCCAGACAAGGGCCTCGAGAAAACCGAGGCGGCCAACGTTCCGCCATTGAGACCTCTCGAAGCCGACATTCGGCCCCCGACCATCAAAAGCGACTCGGGCAGAGAAGCTGGATCCAGGAAGAGGTAGAGAGGTCTAGGAGGCCACGTCTCAAAAGAGTCGAGCCGCTACGTGCGTGCGTGCTCCACCTTCTCCTCAACTTCTTTTACTCATCTTCCTGCTCTACCCACAGTGACGGTCTGAAGAGTCCCCTAGGGGTCCCACGTGGCAGCGCATCAACCATGCCACACCGACGAAACCACGCGGCACTGCAACGATGCTGGGCTGGTTCCCTGAACGCGGTAATCGACACGCGCGGAACTGGATCCGAGTTAGCACAATGTCTCACACCATGCGATGGTGTATCTACTGCTGTACACATGACCTTGACTGATTCAAGACTCCTGTCTGCAAATCCCGGCTGGCCGCTGCAACGCAGTCCTGGATCCAGGCTAGAAAATCATCGACGCCTGGTCGAACAGACACGTGGCACCTTTCCCCAACTCGCGAGTTGCAACACGCATTCTCCTGCTTCCGAACCACAAGCCTGTGGAAGGAACGCCATGAGGTCTCATCCCGTATAACTTGACGTGGAATTCAAGAGGAGCGCTGGACACTCCTGGGAGCTCAAGACGGTTGGCACGACGTGGAATATTGCAATTATCTGTAGTATGCGACCTTGCCTTGCGATACCTTGTTCTGCCCTGCATCGGGATATGTCTGGCAAGAGCTGCGCTTCTTCTTGTTCGGATGTGTGTTGCCCTACGCGCCATACATCGATCCCTGCCTGGCCTTGCATCATGCCTCCCCTGCACGGTCGCAACGGCACCATCCTGCTGAGCTTCAGGATGGCATGACGAGTCCGACCCGCCCTCTGGGCTGAGGTGGTCTAGGGGGCGCTGGCTCTTCCCACCCTGCTCCTCATTGACAAGCACCCCCTCCACCCGCTCGACCGGCGGCCGCGGAGGAGGAGGAGGAGGACCAGGAACAATGCCACCCCCCCTCCCACCATCCCTGGCAAACAAACAAAAAGCTGCATAATGCACATGACGGCAGGATCTTGGATCATGCGCGCGGTGGCCCCGCGATCACGCTGCTTACATTGCTTTTTGAAAGGGACGGCGGAGGGGGAAAACATCTTGCCTGGTGCGCGCAGGCCCACCATGCCTCTCGGAAAAATGTCCAGCACGCTTTGCGGCAAGATATAGGACCATGCCTGGGGGACCCCCTGTCACTTTGCATGGTGACCTGTCTGTTGACAGGAATGGTGGGGGTGCCCGCATGCTGTCTGGTGCGTGCGGGTCCACCAGTCCTGTCAAAAGATTGCGGGCACACACACACACACACACACACACAGCATGCACAATTCTGACCACCCCGCCGCCATGTCTCACTGGTTTTCGATACGGACGGTGGGGGGGGGGATCGACTTATTCCCCGATGTGTGTGTGTGTGTGTGTGCGGTCACGTGTGCTGGCACGCCTGGCACTGCGACTCGGGTGCTACTTATGTGGTGTGAGGGCGGGCGGGAGTGAACGAGACGGCTTGCGGCCATCCTCCGGGGTAGCTTGAGCACCGCTCCATACTCATATGCACCCCCTCCCCCGCGTAACTGGCGACAACCCCCGGGACAATGAGGGCCCCCCCTCGCCAATCCCTCCCCAAAAACAACACACAAAGTGCACTTTGCGGCAAAATCTTGGGTCATGATCGGGGGGCCCGCGAGCACTGTATATCGCTTTGTGCCAGGGACGGCGGGGGGTGTCAGCATACTGCCTGCTGCGCGCAAGGCCACCATCCATATTACAAAGAAACATGTAAACTGCACTTCGCAGCTAAATCTGGATCATGCGCGGGCACCCCGCAATCACTTTGCATTGGTTATTCATGGACTGCGGGGTTGCTGGCATATTGCCTGCTGCGCGCAGGCCCACCGAACATCATGACGGCCACTCCGCCGCGATTGCGCATTGGTTTTTGACACGGGAGGTGGAGGCCGACATTTTTCCCGATGTGCGCGGAAACGGCGCACCTGGCGCGGCAGGAGAATGCGGCACACTTGGCGCACGTGGAGCACGTGGCGCATCTGGCGCACCAGGCGTGCCTGACACGCTTGAGCCCCAGGAGTCCAGGAGCGCCTAGCGCGCCTGGTGCGCGAGGCGCGCCTGGTGCGCGTGGCGCACCTTGCTCCAGCGTCGCGCACCTGGGGTCTGTATTGGTTCCCAGTAGTTGCCCATCCAAAGGCGACCGCTGAATATGCTAAGACTCGGGTACTACTTCTGTGTTGGAAGGGCGGGTGGGAGTGAGCCAAGCACTTTGCATCTGGGAGAGGTGTCTTGATCAATGTTCCTCATTAACATACACCCTGGTCCCCACCCGAATGGCGATAAACCCGGGACCATGCTGACCCCCCGCCATCCCTGTCGAAAAATAATACAAAGTGCACTTTGCACCAAAATTTGGATCATGCGCGCGGACGCCCGGCGATCACTTTGCATTCGTTCTGGAAAGGGGCGGCGGGGGTGCCAGCAAATTGCCTGCTGTGTGCAGTGCCAACACCCCCCTCTCATCATCCCTTGCAAAACACCATACAAAGTGCACTTTGCACCAAAGTGTGGATCTTGCGCGGACGCCCTCCTACCATTTTGCATCGGTTTTGAGGAGGGGTGGTCTGGGGGGCCGGCAGGCAGATTGCCTGCTGTGTACAAACCCAACCACCCCGTGCAAAAAAACAAAACGACATGCACGAACATTGTTCCAATTTGCAGAACATACACGGACGCCCCGAGATCGCTTTGCATTGGTTCTAGACAGGGACGGCCGGGGGCCAGCCTATTGCCTGCTGTGTGCAGGCCCACCATCCGCTTCAACAAGGAGCGCAACATTCCCTTTACCAGGGACGATGGGGGGGCAGCATGCTGCCTGCTGTGTGCAGGCCCACTACCCGTCAAGAACTAATGCGAAACGATCGTGGACGCACACCCACACACAATACACAATGTCCGCAAACCCGCCGTCACTTTGCATTGGTTTTTGACAGGGATGGTGGGGCGGTCGACCTAATGCCCAATGTGGCGCAGCTGCTGCTCACGGCGCACCTGGCACGTGCGGCGCACCTCGCGGGCATCGCGCACCTGGCTGACGTCTGCATTGGTTCCCGATAGTTGTCGATGGCGGCCCCTGCATGTGCTGAGACCCAGGTGTTACTTATATAGTTGGAGGCCGGGTGGGAATGAGCGACACGGTTTGCGGCTTGGGGTACCTTGATAACTGTTTCCTATCAATAAGAACCCCCTCACCCAGGCGACCGGGAACCAACTCGTCCCCATGACGACCCCCCCGCACCACACGTCAACAAAACAATACAAAATACCAGTTCGTCGTCGTCATACATATGAAGCCAAAATGTTGTTATAGTATCGCCCTTTCGGTTGTGATGAACATTTGGGGCTTCAAGATGCCTCCAAGATGACCTGAAGAAGGAAGGGTCAAAACGGACCAAAGAGCACCCAAGAGCGCCCCCCATGAGACGATGCGTCGAGCTCCAGAGAGGCAAGGCTAATTGAAGACCCCCTCTTCTTTGATCGATGGCATCCAAGATGGCGCCAAGAGTTTTCAAAAAGACCCAAGGAGAGTTCCAAGAGGTCCCCAAGACAGCCCAATGGGATCCAAAATTGCCCCAAGAGAATCCCAAACTTGCCCGAGTAAGCTGCCCAAAAGATCCTATAAAAGATCCGCAAAATGATTGTGGCTGGTTCCTGGGTCTGCTCGGACTGACCCCGATCTTCGGTTTGCTTGGTGCCCCTTTTTTTCTCCTCCGTTTGCTCGTACCTTTCGCCAAGAAACACGCAAATCGCCTGGGTGTTGTTTTTTTGGATTGGCTTGTACATATAGCGAAGCGTCTATATATATATATATATATATATATATATATATATATATATCCCAGAACGACACGACCTAGGAGTTGGAGCCCCGAGGAGAGCAATATTAGTAGTAACGGTAAGCGCCGTCCTCTTCCTTCTCCTCATCTATGCTGCGCTATGCTATGGTATGCTATGCTATGTTATGCTGCGCTATGCTATGCTATGCTAGGCTATGTTATGATGTGATATGCTGCGCTATGCTGTGCTGTGATATGCTGTACTGCGCGATGTTAGGTTATGATATTCAATGCTGCGCTATGCTATGCTATGATATGCTATGATGCGATCGGTTATGATATGATATGCTATGCTGTGATATGATGTGGTATGACATGATATGCTGCGATGTGCTATGCTAAGCCAAGCTAACCTAAGCTAAGCTAAGCTGTGATATGATATGTTATGCTATACTGCGCTATGATATGATATGATATGCTATGGTATGCTGTGTTGTGCTGTGATATGCTACGCTGCGCTACGCTATGCTATGCGATGCTATGATATGCGATGATATGCGATGTTATGCGAATGCTATGCGAATGCTGCGCTGCGCTAAGCTAAGCTAAGCTGAGCTGAGCTGAGCTAAGCTAGGCTAAGCTAAGCTAGGCTAGGCTAAGCTAAGCGAAGCTAGGCTAGGCTAAGCTAAGCTAAGCTAGGCTGGGCTAAGCTAAGCTAAGCTAAGCTAAACTAAGCTAGGCTAAACTAAGATGAGATAAGCAACGCTAAGCTAAGGAGACGTAACTGGGAGAACCGCGGGGCGGATGCCGGGGGAACCGCCCGGGGCGACTAGCACTGCCCGGCCCTTTAAGCTAACAGAGTAAGAACCCTTCTGAGGAGAGCCTAGGTGGGGAATAGTGAGACCCAACATACGCAATGTCATCACATTCGACGCACATTAATCCAAAAATGTCAGCTTGTGATTAACAAATCCGTGGGGGGGCGCGTGTTTTAAAACATGTTCCCCTGATCGAACGAATCGCGGGGTGGCGCCCGCCAGATTGAAAATCAATTTTTGCCGCCGGTGATTGGCGCCGACGCCCGGCCGCCAACGAGGAGCAAAAGGAAGGTGTTCGGAGACAAAGGTGAGCCAGGGCGCCCCTCTTTCTGTCGAACCGATGCGGGCCTGCGAGCACAACGGGCTGAACGAAAGTTGGGCGCAGCAGAGGGGGGATTTGCGAAGCAGCTCACGTCGCCGATTTTCCAAGCGCCTCCTGGCGCCGAAAGCGGCCATGCGTCGAGGACTGGTCCTTCGGCGGGGCGACTGAAACCAGCTGCGCGCAGCAGGCTTTGCAACCCCCCTTTTCCTTCCCCATCCTTTCGTCCGACCCGAGCAACGCGGGTACTCGTCCTCCCCCCCTCTGTCGCCGTCGTCGCCGCCGTCCCCCGCCCTGCCTGCGCCCGTTTCCAACGGCCGCTTCTCTTCGTCGACGACGACGACGACGAGGACGACGACGACGGGCCGAGGACGAGGACGACGGACGGCGGACGGCAGATGGCGACGGCGGCGACGACGACGACGACGCACTGCGGATGCCCTATGGGGGGCGGGGTGGTGCTGCTGCGCAGACCCGCTGTACTCGACGACGACGACGACGACGACGACGACGACGACGACGACGACGACGACGACGACGACGGCGGCGGCGGCGGCGGCGGCGGCGGCTGCGACGACGACGACGCCTGAGAGGGGGAACGACAATTCGCCTCGGATGTGCACGACACTTATGTCAACTTCTATACGAATGACAGTCGTTTTGAAGCTGTCATGCAGGGGCGTACACGACCCCCTCGGCGGCGCAACAAAAAAAAGTGTCGCGCCCCGCGGGGTCTATTCATCAGTCCGAGGGAGGGGGGGCACCCTTTTGCTAATCACAAGCTGGCATTATGAAGAAAGGTACTTCTGCTGTTCGCCACCTATGAATATGAATGCAAGCCGCATGCAGCCGAATGATGCAACGACAACGCACGTGTATGACTTACTGGTTATTGCATATCGCTGCGATTGCTCACGTGCGCGAAGCGGAAAAGCAATTCAAGATCACACTGCGAGGAACGGAACAAAGCATTGCGTTGCCCACACAGTCAGAACAATCAAGCACTCCAGTATCAAGCTCACGCGCGCAGGCATTGTAGATTTCGCGAGGGCATCAACGATCAGCGGCACGCGCGCAATACCATCAGCAACCGAATCCCCCCTGGCACCGAGCGCGCTCAACAACACCCACTTGCTCCCACGAGGGGTTCTGCTGCTTTCAAAAGGAGGGGGCTCTCGCGCGCGCGCGCTACCCCCCCCCCCGTCTCTTTCCCAGCGCCCCCGACGGCACCGAAATCGGCCAAGACGTCCCCGAGACGGCCAATCGCAGCAAAGCCCGAATGCGTTGCCAGAGCGGCCGCGAGATGCCCGTGGGGGGCACTCCAATTTAAGAAACAAAGACGGACATCAGAGGGGAGAATCAACAACAGTTACTCTTCAGAAGCGAGAGTTTATCAAAAACAAACAAGCGAAAAAACAAAACCTTGCTGGTCCGCAGCGACAGGAGTCTCGTCACGGTCGAAGCCACGGCGGGCTGCACGGCCACGAATTCCGCATGCACAGATGGAACTGGAGGAGTGCAACTAGAAAGGCACGACAGGACGCGCACGCCAAAAAACAGGTCATCCGCGATCGATCGCCTCGATCGCATCCGCACGCCCGCCGGCGCACCGATGGCTGACGTCAAGCTGCACGTCGACGCTGAAGTCGACTGGCGGCGGCGGCGATCCATGCCACCGTGCGCGCACGTGCGCCCGCGCAGGCCGCTCGTCGCTCGTCTCGCCCCCTCCCCAGACCTCCGACGACATGTGTTTTCCATCGCGGACCAGCCAGGCCGCTTCCTCCGGCCTGCTGGCTCCCACCGTCCAGAGTTCAACCGCCCTCCCTCGATCCTCAACCTCCTCCCCCTCCCCCTCCTCCTCCTCCTCCTCCTCCTCCTCCTCCTCCTCCTCCTCCTCCTCCTCCTCCTCCTCCTCCTCCTCCTCCTCCTCCTCCTTCGCTTTCACCTCTGCCCCCCTTCCCCCATCCCCCCCTCCTCCGACCCGCTCGCGCCATCCCCTCATCCCCTTCGCTTCGGCCTGCCAGGCCTTCCGGGCCCCAGCGGGACCACCACAACGAAGCCCAAGACGCAAGACTTAAGTCGGGCGTGTCCCCCTACAGAGGGATTTTGGACAAAAAATTGAAAAATATTCGAACAAATACTCAAAAGATGCCCAAAAATACTCAAAAAATAGACCCCAGACTATTATTGTACTATTCTTGAATATTCCTCCTGTGGAGGGACAGGCCCGCCTTAACGCAAGACCACCACTGGAAGAAGGGCAGGGAACTCCCCGAGGCCACAAAATAAAAAACAGTAAACCAAAAAAAAACAAGCAAAACAAAACAAACAACAAACAAAAAAAAAAACGGCGGACGTCTGCGTCCGCTCGGCCACTTCTGATTGTCGCAGCGGCCTGGCGCCAAGCCGCGGTCGGCGCCAGTCGAGGGGCACCGCGGGGCCTCACTGGGCGCGGCAGGGGCGCGGCGAGGGCGCGGCAAAGGGCGCGGCGCACGGGGGAGCAGAGGCCCAGGGCGGCGGAGCGCGCCAGCTCGCTCGGGACGGGAGCCTTCCGCCTCGGAGTGGCCCCGCCTCCCCCATCCCCCCTCCGCGGCCGCCCTGTCCGTCCTTTCCCTTCGGAAGGGGCCCCAGGACACACAAACAAATACACAAATAAGAGGACTCCCCGTATTTTCCTATATTTTCTGGGTTTTTGTCTCCCCCCCCACTTCCCATATTTTCCCATATTTTCCTGGGAGTGGACGATTCATTGTGTCCGTGTCTTTTCCCCTCCTGACCTTCTGCTGCACGCCGGCCAGTTCGCTGCTCGCTGCCCCCCCGCTCAGCTCCGTCGCCGGGTGCCGCCGCTCTGCTGCCTCGCCGCCGACGTGAAAATGCGTGCCATGGGCACAGGCCTGCGGGCAGGAAGAGGGGGGGCAGACGGCGGCCATGGACACGAGCTGAGAGCGCTGATCCCAGGGAGCCACGACACTCGCATTGTTTAGAGTTTTTTGTTTTAGAAAACAGACTGTACATGCGAGCGACCTTTCGTCCGATGCTTCTGTGCAGTGCCATTTCGGCTGAAGAGCCCCTGGAGGGCGAAAGCTACCTGCGCTTGGCACACAAAACACATCAGCATCCGAGCAGGCTTGATAGTCCTTTCGATCGGGGGTCTGCGGGTGCCAGTCGTGCGAGGGACAGTCCGCAGGCAAGTCTCCTCCGCTGCCCACGCGCAAGAGCGGCCCTGGCCAAGACGTCATCCGCTCAAGCCTTGGCGGATGCGCGGCGCAATGCTCGGGGCGAGCCCTGCGGCCCGGCCCGCACAGAACGAGGCAGGCAGGGGCGTCAGGTTCCGACGCGTCTGGAGCCCCTCGGACCGCCTAAAGAACTGGTGCCTACTTGGCTCGCCAGCTGGAGCAAGGAGAAAAAAACAGTACTGGCGGCGCGCAGAAGGGGGGGCACAGTACTGACGCGAGGGGAGCGATATTCTAGCAAGGCGGGAGGGCTTCTTCGAAGCCCTCCTGGCTTCTATCGGCGGCCAGCCCAGGGTCCCCGAGCCTTCTGAGCAGTTCTCTGAGCTCTCGCCGAACATACCGAAAACTCACCAGAAGGCCAGAGGGCTTCTGAGAAGCTCCGCCGCCGTCTGGCAGGGCCTTCTGCTTCTGCCTTCCCCCCTTCGCTCGCCGCCGCTTCTCAGAAGCCGTCTTCGGGGCCCCTGGGGCCTCCTGGAACTCGCCACGGTTCTGACGGCCATTCCCCGTGTATGTTTCAACTTCGCGCATGTATTTTTTCACCAGCCGATACACGATGCTATGAGGCCATCTTGGAAGCCCCTGGTCCTTCTGGAACTCGCCACCGCTCGGACGGCCATTCCCCGTGTGCTGTTCGATGTCGTGCCTTTATTTGTTCACCAGATGATTCACCAGATGATTTATGTGTTCGCAAGTCCGGTCAGTTATCTTGCACATGGCAATTACTGAGGCATCAACTTCTTTGGTTTGGAAAGGTTGGAAGAGCCCCCAACGACGACTTCATCCGAAAGCTCACGTTCCAGAATGACAGCGTCATCTCCGCCACGTCGTTGCTCAAGCGGAGGAGGGGAGACCGAATAACGAATGGGCCACGTGCTTGTTCAAGATCATATCGGCATACTTCACCACAGAAGAAAATATCCTGGCACATGTACGCGACCCTCAGGAATGGGAGCTCTTTGTTCAGCAGGTCATTCGGGGCTTGGAAGAACATCCAGACGAGGAGTAGATACGAACTGATGTGTTGGCTCGGCCCGAGCGCCCCGGCAGGAGGGCACCGTATTGTGAATGCAATGCGTGTGTTGTTTGCTTGCTCTCTCCCTATCCCTCCTCCTCCTCCTCCTCCCCCTCCTCCTCCTCCTCCAACTGCCCTGTTTAGCAGGCGCATTGGCAGTGAACGCTTGAAGTCATACTTTTCCCGCCTACGCGCCGGACGGCGTACGGCTTGTGCAGTGCAGTGCAGATGATTCACGATGCTCCTCTTAGGTCAGGCATGTCCTCCTACAGCCGGATTTTGGACGAACAAAACAAAATGACAAAAGATACTCGGAAATAGCCCACGAAGGAAATCAAAAAATCGTTCCCTGACTATTGGTTGACTGTTCTTGAATATTCCTCCTGTAGAGGGACAGGCCCGACTTAATGCTCCTCGATGGTCCTCGGAGAAAGGGGGGGAGGAGAGGAGGAGGAGGAGGAGGAGGAGGAGGAGGAGGAGGAAGAGGAGAAGGAGGAGGAGGAGGAGGAGGAGGAGGAGGAGGGGAGAGGAGGAGCGGACCAGAAAGCAAACGACACCACCCCACCTAAGGCCCCAACAGGGCTTGGCGCACACCAGGAAGTCTAGCGTGGGTTTGGGCGTGGTATACGCTGCGGCCCCCGCTGGGCCGTAGCGAATCATGGAAGGCCGTGGGTGGGGTGTGCCGTTCGTTGCTTAATCGAAAGAGGATGACGCAGGCGTGTTGGCCCGCCCTACCCGCCCCCCTCCCACCGCGAATGTACGCGTCGGGGGATGCTAAAAGGCGCCCTTTTAGCAAGGTGCCCCCAGCTGTTCGCTAAATGTTGGATCCCCTGGGGCCCTCTGGGCCTCGTGAAGGGTGCTCTGGAGGCCGCGGGGGCCTCCTTTGAAATCGCGGGGGCGCCTTGGGCCAGGAACATGCATGGTATGTACAGCGTTCGTTCGTTTTACCTTCTGTGCACCTGCCCTTTCTCGGTTATTTATCTGTATAAGCTACGAACATCCCGCCTGACGAGCCTAGCCAAGCCGAGCCCGAAGAGGATGATGCGACACTGAAGACAGGGGCAATCAGCATCGAATCGTGAAATCGGATGAGACACGTTTTAATTTCTGGGGGATAACGCACGTTACCAGGGGGGGGGGGGGGGGGGGGGGGGGGTAACAGTAACTGGGGCCGCGGCGCGCACCCCGTGAGGCGCGCCGCCTACGTCGTCGTCAAGCCCATAGCGCCTGCGAACACAGCACGGGCTCTGTACGATGCCTTGGTGCACCAGGGCTGCTACAGAAATCTTACGTGCGTGCACCACGGCGACTGTGCACCAGAACAACCGCGTGCACCATGACGCCTTTGTACATCGCGCGATTTGTGCACACCACGGCGCCCGCGTGCACCACAGCCGCTGTTTCAGCACCCCATGTGCACCACAGCGCCTGCGCACACCGCAAAATTCGTGTACGCCTGAAGGCAATACCGACGGGGCCAAGTTCCGGAAAATCGTCGGGGGCCCGAGCGTATCCAATTCAGTATACGAGATTAGTGTGATTATCTGTTTTTCTGGCCCCAGGAACGCTGGGATATTTTGGGCCCACAACGCCTGCGCACTCCATTGCGACTGTGGATCCCCCAGGGAGCCCCAGCGCAGATCCAAGAAATCCGCGCGGACCGTCGAAAGCTTATGTTTACGTGCTTTTTTACCTTAGAGAGAAGGGGGCACGAAATGCGACACCGAAGCACGCGTGGCCACCACGTGGCTGAAGATCTCGCGGGAAGAGGGGTTCAGCTTCTTCGCACGACGGTACAAGAAGCGTATGGAACAGGAGGATCAAAAGAAGAAGCAGCAGAAGGACTCGGCGGCGAACCCTGGTGGGAAAGTGAAAGAAGGCGGGCCCTCTAAGAAGGCGGCGGGACTTCTCAGAAGCCCGCCCTCCTTCTGAGAAACCCTCCACCGGCCCCGGAGTAGCCTTCCAACACTTCTCAGAAGGCCAGCCTTCTGAGAAGGTCCGCCCCTCTCACTTCCCCTCGGGGCCGCCGCCGAAGGAAGCGCGGCAGAAGAAGCAGCAGGAGGAGCAGCAGAAAAGGCAGCAGGGGGAGCAGCAGAAGCAGCAGGAGGAGCAACAGGATCAGCAGCAGCAGGAGCAGCAGGAGCAGGAGCAGCAGCAGGGGCAGAAGCAGGAGCAGCACGAGCGCCAGCTGAGGAGGCGCAGGAAGCGCAGAAGGCGGCGCAGCAGGAGGCGCACCAGGAGAGGCAACAGGAAATTCCCGCCAGCCCCCGCTCTGGGAGCCATGATGGCAGCAACACTTGCCTTCAGGAGAACCCCTTTATGCACACACAGCAATGCCGATGTACACCACAACAGCCGTCTGCACCGCAACGCCTGTGATCATTGACACCACAGCTGCTGCTTCGGCACCCCTCCGCGTGCACCACACGGCATGCACCACAAAGTTGGCGTCCACCTCCACGGTCCCGACGGAGCCAAAGTCTGGAAAATTGCTGGGGGCCCGAACGTATCATATCCAATCTTATGATATGATTGTGGTTATTGCTGTTTTCTGGCCCGAGGAACGCTTGGACATTTTGAGCCCACAGCGAATGTGAAACACAACGCCTGTGTCCACGGAAATGAAGGAGGAGGAAGAAGTGCGAAGATATGCGTGGGCCCGTTATAGCCCACAACGCGCGCTCACATCGTAGAGACCTTACGCACTACAGCGATTGTGTACACCACGGCGCCTGTGTACACCGCAGGGCTTGTGATGTGTACACCACAATGCTTGCGTACACCTTGTATGCCTGCGTACACCACGGCTGCTGCTGCAACGACAGATGCGTGCGCCAGAACGCCCGTGCACACCGCACTGCCTGCGTGCACCATAGTGAACGCCCGCGTGCACAACAGACCCTAAGCTGCCCGGGATCGCGCGCTGGATCGGGGCCGGGGCGTTACCGCTACGGGGGGTGGGAGGGGGGGGGGTAACATGCGTCATCCCTTGGGTGGATAAAACATAGTCTCGATCGGATCGTAACGCGGGTCGGATCGGGCTGCATCGGCTCTGAGTCGAGATCGAATCGGACCCGCCGCGCCAGGATGCACAACGGTGCCCGTGCAAGCATCGGGCCACGTCGGATCGCCCGGTCAGATCGGGCGGATCGAAGCCGATACCGAATCGGACCGATCGGAACAAAAAGGACCATGAAAGGCGGATGCCCTGCGCACCTTTCCCTATCAATGCTCGTTAACGGAATACTCTAGTCGGCATCGGTAGGTTTGTCTCATCGGGGCAGCGGGGCAAACGGAGGGAAAGAGAACGGAGACCATAGCCAAGACTGAACACGGAAACGTCGGTGCCGATCTTGGTCATCGTCCGCCTGGGTCGCGGGAAGTTCGCGGATCATCCTCGAGGAACGGCGACGGCCAGCACGGACCAGGACCAAAATCGGCGTCGACGAGATCCCGCGACATCTTGGTGATGGTCAGCGTGAGTCTTCCCTCGAGGGGTGGCGGCCCCCGCCGCTCAGCATGGGGGAACCGGGTCCCGAGGGAAACGGGTCCTGGACCCCGGGGCCTTCCCCAAGGACGAGTCCTTCATCCTGAATCGTTCTCCGACGGTCCCGGGGCCCGTGGAGGGCCCCGGGAGGCCAAAAGCCGCGAGAAAAACTTCGGGACCCGCTTCCCTCAGGACCCGCTTCCCCCCCTGGCGAGCCGCCGCCTCTGTCCAGCTTCCGCTTGTGGCAGTGCACGCCCTCGCAGCTCACCCGCACGAGCGTCTCGTCGAGGTCCTGCGGGGGCGCTTTTGTCGGCTGAACTCGTCAAGCTTCCAGAGGTGGAACCAGAGAACTATTCGTATTCTACTATCTTTTTCAGAGATGACGATGCCTTTCTTGATCCTTCCTCTCCTTCTCTTTCTCTTGCTCCTGCTCCTCCTATTTCTACTCCTCCTCCCTCCTCCATCTCCTTTCTCCTCACTGCTTCTTCTCCTCCAGTCCTCCTCCACAGGGGCGCCAGACGCCCACGCGCCGTGAGCAAAAAAAAAACGAACGCACGAACGTGAGCCTCGCGCTGGACGGCGCGCGAGCAGGGTGGAGCACCAAATAATCAGTGCCTGAGAGCAGCACTGTTCGCATCGGCCTCCACTTCTTCACCGCCGACTCCCGTGAAGCCGCTGCTCCACCGCCTCGACAGAAGAATGCAGGCAATGCCTCCCGAGAACAAGCCACGGAGAGACGATGGCGAACGACCATGCTGCTCCGAGATTGTCTGGGGCGCCCTCGCCTGTGTGGCCCTGACGGCAGAAGGCTTCGCCCCATGCCTCGGCTTCCAGGGACCCTCACCAGGCCCCGTGACCTTCAGAAAACGACCCCGGGGTGGAACCTTCTTCCGCCGGCGGCGAGGCAGAGGCGGTCCGCTCCAGCGTGGGGCAATTCGGGGCCACCGGATGGCTAATTGGCAGGCATGCAAGAGAGGGAAAAGGAACGTCCGGGACGGTCTCAGCACCTCGCGCTCGGCGCCCTGGGGCTACAGGCGCCGAGGCTGCCGTGAGCTGCCGCCGAGTGGTCCCTGCTGAGGCCCGCCTGAGCCGACGCCCTGCGGGCTGCCCGTGAGCAGCCCGTGGCCCTCGGCCACTCTTTATTCCAAAATTCGTCCGGAGGGGCGTATGTGGCTCGGAGAAGGACGAGGGCGGCCGCGCAGAGGGAGGGGGGAGAGAAGAGCACTCAGACGTGGACTGGGGGGGTGGAACACTGGCACGGGGGAAGGGGCCGATAATTACCCCCGGGGGGCCCGCGCGGCGGAGGAGTCGCGACGCCCGGTGCGCAGAAACCACCACGACCACGGGCCCAGGGAGCGCTCGACGGCGGCGCCGTCGTTCGGGAGGTCCCTATGGGCGCTGCTGAGGTCAGGGGGCCAGGGGCAGATCGGCAGATTCTCCCGAGGCCGAAGAGCCAGAACGCCGGCGGGCAGCCCGCAGCTCAGGGGCCCGGGGACTTCCGCCCGAGAACGCGGCAGCCGTGGGCCGGAGCAGCATGCCATCTTGCTCGTGTCCTGCGGCTGGGTCCAGCAAAGACCCGGTCTGCAGAGGCACGGACTCCGGGTGGGGGGGGCCGGAGTCTCCTGGCCCGCGTCCGGCCATGGCGACGAGAACGGCCGAGGGGCGCCCAGAGGCCTACAACGCGACGCCGTCGACGTCGGCGACGGACGACGGCGTGCTGGACGACGACGGCGTCGCGTGCTTCTGGGCGCCTCTGGTCTGCCTGGTCGTCCCCAGGGGCCTGTTTGAACGGGGTCTGGGAGTGGCCATGACTACCTACCAGACCACCCCAACCCGAAGGCAGGAATTTGACCCGAATTTCGGGTTGGGGGGGGGGTACGGGGACCATGTGTTTTGTCGACGTTCCCCGATCCCCCCCCACTGGAAATGGAGGGCAAACCGAGGCCTTGGGGTTGGGTTGGGGTGGTTTGGTGGGTGGTGAGGCCAGCCGACAGGCCACGACGCCGGGCGGCACCGAGGAGCCCCCCTCTCCTCCAGCATGGAGGGGGGAGGGCGGAAGGCCCCCGGGGCGGAGCGAGGAAGCCAAGAGGGGCGGCCGAGATGGGCAGCCACGGGTGAGCCTTGCTCCGGATGGCAGAATAGTCGCCCCCCATAGGGGGGCACACGCGGAGCTCCCGAGCGAAGTGAACCCCACCCTCCCCCTCAGAAATCGTGGGGGGTAAGGGTAGGGTTCGCGTGTGGCCCCCTACCCCACCCCTCGGGGGCGACGGAAGCCCTGCACGCCCACGGCGCCCTGGCCGGGCCCCACCCAAGAGCCCAGCAGCGGTGTGCACACGCCGCTCCCTCGTGGCTGGGGCCAGCCAGGGCGTGCAGCACGGCTCCCGGGCTCTGGACGGGCCCGGCCCGGGAGCAGCGGAGGCGTGTGGATCTCGCCGCCCGGCCGCGGGTTCGAGGGGGGGCTGGGCGCGAGCCGTCGGGGGGGGATTTGGGGGGGGGATGGCAGTTTTGAAGCTCAAGCTCCTGGACCAGGTGGGGGGGGAAGAATCTTGGACGCGCGTTGAGGGGCGGTGGGGGTGGGATGGGGACGCTCCGGCGGAAGGTGAGTCGGCCCCCCCCCCCCACACCGATTGTTGTGTCGCCCCGGCGTCGGCCCCCGAGAGCCTTCCGAAGAGACCCCAAGAAGTATCCCCGAGGACTCCGGCCCACGTCAGCGTCGTCGTCGCCGTCGCCGCCGCCGGTGTCGTCGTCGTCCCCCTTCAGGGTCGACGGCACTGGCCGCGACGCCCTCGCAACAGGCAACCACATGTGAACCTTACACCTGCTGCGGAGGTCTCTGGGAAACCGGCTGGGGCTCAGAATTTGAAGGATGTCTGCAGCCAAGCGAACCCCAGCTAGAGTGTCCGATACCCCAGCGTCGATTGGACCCGCAAGGGGTAGGGTTCGCAGGCGGTCGCGGACGAAGGCCGAGGATCGCGGGCCCGGCTTTGCGGGACGTCCCTGGCCCAGCACCAGGGCTTCCCGAGGAAGGCCCCCCTCCCTCGCTCCGACAGGACGGGGAAGGATCAGGTGTGGACAGAACCCCCTTCAGTAAAGCAATGTTCGTCGGCGGCGAGGCAGAGGCGGTCTGCTCCAACGACTGGCGATTCCAGTTTTGGGCCCCGAGGCTGGCAAATTGAGAAATTGCTCCTGGGAGTGGAATCGAGAGCTCTGGGGCCCACGTACTGACGAGATTTTGACATCGTCAGCCGAAGAACAACACGTGGTTTCTTCAAAACGTGGGGCTTCATCATCGCTGGTCACTTTCTCGTCGGCCCCAGGAGCCCCATCATTGCGAGAGACGCTGTGGTGGTTGTGTCCTCATACTCCTCGACCTCCTCGTCCTCCTCGTCCTCACCCTCCTCCTCCTCCTCCTCCTCCTCCTCCTCCTCCTCCTCCTCATCATCATCATCAGCAGCAGCAGCATAATCAGCATCATCAGCATGATCATCGTCGTCATCATCAGCATCGTCATCACCATCGTTATCACCATCATTATTATCATCATCAGCAGCAGCATCATTATCATCATCATTATCATCATTATCATCATCATCATCATCATCATCATCATCATCATCATCATCATCATCACCATCATCATCATCATCATCATCATCATCATCATCAGCATCATCGTCATAGTCACCATCGTCATCGTCATCATCACGACAATATTTATCAGAAGCATCATCATATTCATCATCATCGTCATGATCATCGTCATCGTCATCATCATCATCATCGTCGTCATCAGCATCACCACCAACACAGCCACCACCAACACCACCACCACCACCACCATCATCATCATCATCATCGTCATCATCATCGCCACCAAAACAACCAAAACAACCACCACCACCACCACCACCACCATCATCATCATCATCATCATCATCATCATCATCATCATCATCATCATCATCATCATCATCATCATCGCCGTCATGGTCGTCATCATCATCGTCATCACCATCGCCATCACATTCATCAGCATCAGCATCATCATCGTCGTCGCCGTCGCTATCATCATAATCACCACCACCATCATCATCAACATCACCACCTGCAGCCCCATCAGCATCATCAGCATCATCACCAACATCATCAGAATCATCATCAGAATCAGCATCGTCGTCATCGTCATCATCATCACCATCATCATCATCTGCAGCGGTAGCATCATCGTCATCATCAGCAGCATCATCGTCGTCAGCATCATCAACATCAACATCGTCATCATCATCATCATCATCATCTGCAGTCTCAGCATCATTATCAGCATCATCATCACCAGAATCATCACCATCCTCATCATCTGCAGCGGCAACATCATCATCATCAACAACAGCATCATCAACAACATCATCATTATCATCATACCATCATCCTGATCATCGTCCTCTATCCCCCCCTCTCTCTCCTCCTCCTCCTCCTCCTCCTCCTCCTCCTCCTGCTCCTCCATGCCTTCCCCTTATGGATAACTCCTCCCTCTCGTTCCCCGAAACGTTTTGGCAAGGCGGGCCGGGTGTTTCGCCTGAGACCTACTCACCCGTTATGACCCCTAAGCTTGACATGTGCAACTTCACGGATGGAGGGAGGGCTAGTTTCAAAATGAGGCTCTCGCCTTGACGCCACGCAAATTCGTCTCAAAAATGCGCAAAGGGCTTCACGGATGGAGGGCGGGCCGATTTCAAAATGTGGCTCTCGCCTGAGCGCCGCGCACATTCGTCTTGAAGTTGGCAAAAGCTTCACGGATGGAGGGCGGGCCACTTTCAATATGTGGTTCTCGCATTAGCGCCGGAGACATTCGTCTTAAAAGAGTACAAGAACTTCACGGATGGAGTGCGGCTCCTTTTAAAAATGTGGCTCTCGCCTTAGCGCAGCCCGCATTCGTCTTAACAGCTTTCGGCAGCTTCAGGGATCTTTATGGTTGACGTCCCAGAAACTTTGTTTGCCCAGATGTAGGACTGACAGAGCGCACAACAGTCACGTTGATCCGCTGTGGAATTCCCATGAACTGCGCTCTGGCACGATTCAAGGTCGTCAGGACGCAACATGCAACATGAACTTTGATTCGCGACGCTGAAGTCCCAGGAGTGGTGGTTTGGCAGGTTTCAAGATTTCCAGACAGTTGTCTCCAAACGAGACACTTCCCTCAGTGAAAATAAACCTTGTCGGGACCTGTGATGAGGAAACTTGAACGAAGAGTTTATTGCAACATCGTTGGTGCATCTCGGGTGTTCAATGGATTTTCTCCGCCTCCTCCTCATAGCCGCTTTGGTTCAGGTGTCCTGTACGCCTTGAGCTTGCAGGCACATACTTCAGAACGGTTCGTGCTCGCTGGCCAATTTGGTATAAGAACGGACAAGCATGCTGCAGGAGGCTGCTCCAGATGGGTTCATCTCCAGAAGTCTTCTCAGGGCCGTATTTTCCCCACTGGAGCTGCAAATGTGGCTGCGATGGCAACTAAGCAACTTGCGTGGTCTGCCAGAAGCGTGGCAAGGCAGCGCCGCACAGGATCGCTCAAGCTGCCAATGTTGCGGCCAAAGCAGCGGCAGCGCCAAAGTAAAATGGCCCAGCGCGTGAGCCTCGTGGCTAATGGGTCTCATATCCGTTTGGCTTTACGTAGTAGCCAGAACAAAGATTCTGCGTTTTTTTCGTCATTGTCCGCGTTCTGGACGTCTGCCCTGTCCAAAGATCTCTTCGGTTAGAGGAGATAGTGTCCAAGTCTGTGCCAGAGTCAAACTCATCGCTGGCTGCGCTGGCTGACTCCATCGGGCGCGTTTCCCCCCAGTGTGGAAGAGCGGCAGCGCGGCCAGTACGATAGGTCGACGTGTCACTGCCACTGTGGGATGCCTGTGGGCGAGCAAGCAAGGCAACGCTTTCGCCAGCATCGTCTGCCTGAATACTAAACCCGTGTCCAAGATCCGAGGTATCGGCGAGAAAAGGCGGAGGTGTGTTCGGTTACCACGACTGCCTTGTCCGAGTACCGATACGATGTTCACTGGTGGGCGCTTGGCAATGCGGCCTACTGGACGCATGCGCTCAACAAGGGCTTCGCATTCCACACGGATGCGTCACATCTGGCGGTTGGGTAGGATGAAGTAGTTGCATCACCCTTCGACTGCCGACCCCAAGGGCTCAGAACAGCACTGCAATGAGGAGTTGGAATGCAGGTATGTCGAACCCAGCCAGTTGTGCCTCGAGGCGCGCCATGAAAGAAAAAAAAAAAAAAAAAAAAAAAAAAAAAAAAAAAAAAAAAAAAAAAAAAAACTCGCAAGAGTTTCGTCGATGCGCTCGTTGCTGGGCACGTGAACGCCGACTAGCTGAGTACCTGCGGCGAGCTGACGCTCATCCTCAAGGTGCTCAAACTTCATGGTTACTGCCAGCATGATGTACGTAACGGGATGTGTGTGTGGGCACCTCCGATGCTCACGCCAAAGTTGGCAGTGTCTGGAGGCATCGCGCGGCGATGTTGCCGGAGGGCCCCCCTAGCCTTCGCTGGAGGGCCGCAGCCTGTTGATGTGGGGTCGTGAGAGTACCAGCCAGTACGGACCAAGCGCTGATCTCATCGACAAATTCCAGAACGGTACGTTCGTGGATGGGTCCCACAATGGGGATTTATTGACATCGTTGCACCCACCACGGTGCATGTATCCAATGGCGGATCCAATGCGCAGCCTTGCAGCGGCGCGAATGACGAGTCCCACCAGAGTCAGTTGTGAACTGTGATGAGCTGGCGCATTTTTGTGCGTGGTCTCTGTCTACGTGGGTGTGGTAAGGCGACTTGGCTGGAGGCTAAGCACGCTTCCGTGCGATGTGCTTCCGTGTTTGCGCAAAAGAGATTTACCTAGTTCTGCTTTCGCAGTAAATGCAGGCCTGATCGGTTTGAACTAGTTTACCACTTTAGATATGTTGAACATTTTCGGTTTGAGAAACTTCACCAACGAACATATGTTGAACCTCCTGGGTCGGCCCTGATGGTTCGAGATTGTTTCCAAACTCGTCCCGATAGGAGCGGGTCGCCCCACGGAGTTACGGATGGAGTGTGGGCTCATAGTCAGGAGTGACAACGGTCACGTGGAGAGTGCCAAAAAGTAACAGGAGTAGACCAGCCTTGGGAGCCAACCACACGAGAGTGCGGCCAGCTCTGCTACCAAGTCGAAAGCAACGCGGTAACGTTACATGGTACACTGCTGCCTTGCATACGGTGTGCATCAAGGTAAAATGTAATGCGTGAAGATCAGGATGCTCACTTCCTTTTCCTCTGTCAAATAGCACAGATACTCGATTGGTGGTCAAAGAAGGTGTGCAGAGCTTGAGCCAGACAGACGAGAAGCGCGCGTCGCATCCCCCCGAACGCCTCCCGTTCAAGTTAATATGCCTCCTCCTCTTCCTCCTCCAACTCCTCCTCCTCATCATCACCATCATCAGAATCATCAGCATAACAATCATCATCGTCATCATCATCACCACCATCATCAGCATCACAGCATCACCATCATCATCAGCAGCATCATCATCAGCACCATCATCACCACCGTGATCGTCATCACAAGCATCATCACTATCATCATCATCATCATCATCATCATCATCATCATCATCATCATCATCATCATCATCATCATCATCATCATCATCATCATCATAATCACCATCATCATCAATATCCTAATCCTCGTCATCATCATTATTGCCACCATAATCAGCACCGTAATCAGCATCATCGTCGTCACCATCATAACCAAAATCAGCATCATGATGAGCATCATCAGCAGCATCGCCATCATTACATTATAATCATCAGCAACATCATCATCATCAGCAGCACCATCATCAACGTCCTCATCATCTCCGTTATCACCCTCATTATCATCACCATAATCCTTATCATAATGATCATCGTCTTCGTCACCACCCTCATTCAGCAGCGTCACCAGCATCAGCATCATCCATATCATCATCAGCATCGGCATCTTCATCATCAGCAGCATCAGCATCAGCATCAGTATCATCATCCTCCACAGTATCGTCATCATGATCAGCATCATCATCGTCGGTATCATCATCAACAGCAGCAACATCGGCATCGTCAGCATCATAATCATCAGCATCAGCATCAGCAGCATCATCATGATCATCGTCATCATCATCAACATCATGATCGTCATCGTTATCGTCATCGTCATCAGCATCAGCAGCATAATTAGCCATCATCCTCATCATCAGCATCATCATCATTTATTATCATTATCAGCATCATCATCGGCATCGTCGTCGTCATCAGCATCAGCAGCATCATCAGCATCATCGTCATCAGCATCGTTTTCATCATCGTCATCATCGTCACCACCATCCCCAACCTCAACATCAGCAGCTCCACCAATATCAGCATCATCATCATCGTCATCCTCATTAATCATCCCCACCACCACCATCATCATCAGCGTCGGCATCATCAGCATCATCATCATCGTCATCATCATCAACGTCATCATCATCAGCATCCTCATCATCATCATCGTCATCATCATCTGCAGCATCATCATCACCATCATCAGCGTCATCGCCATCGTCATCATCAACATCATCAGCAGCAGCATCATCGCCATCACCACCACAATGTTCATCGTCATCATCATCATCGTCGTCATCATCATGATCATCGTCATCGTCATCACCCTCATATAGCAGCATCACCAGCATCAGCATCATCAGCATCATCAGCATCATCATCAACACCAACATCATGATAATCATCATCATCATCATCAGCAGCATCATCATCATCATCATCATCATCATCATCATCATCATCAGCATCATCATCATCATTATCATTATCATTGTCATCAGCAGTATCATCATCAGCCTCAGCATCAGCACCATCATCATCATCATCATCCTCATCATTATTGTCATCATGATCAGCAGCATCATCATCGTCAGTATCATCATCATCAACAGCATCGTGAACGTCATCATCACCATCATCCTCATCATCGTTATCATCATCATCGTCATCGTTATTATCGTCGTCATCATCAGCAGTATCGATATCATCGTCATCATCATCATCATCGTCATCATTATGAGCATCATCATCAGCATCGACATCGTCATCATCATCATCAGCATCATAAGAATCATTATCGTCGTCATCTTCATCATCATCATCATCATCATCACCATCGCCTCCATCATCATGGTCATCGTCATCATTATCATCATCAGCAGCAGCATCATAATAATCGTCATCATCATCAGTACCATAATCATCGTCATCGTCATCATCATCATCATCACCATCATCATCATCGTCATCGTCGTCATCATCATCACCATCGCCACTATCATCATCAGCAGCAGCAGTAGCAGCTTCATCATCATAAGCATCATCGTCATTATCATCATCATCACCACCATCATCATCATCGTCAGCATCATCATCGTCATCCTCATCAGCAGCATCACCACCATCATCACCATCATCATCAGCATCATCATCATCATCATCAGCATCATCATCATCGGCTCTGTCATCATCGTCATCGTCATCTTGTTCCTGGTCCTCATCCTCCTTCTCCCCCTGCCTCCCAATCCAAGGCCCCCGACACCATGGCTCTGTCGCACCGTGGGCCCCCGTGGAGGCCTCGAGTCCTTCCCCTGGGACCGCCCTTTGGTCCGAAGTCGCTTTTGTTGATGGTCTCGGGCCTGGCGTGCAAGGCGGGGATTTAGCCACATCCACTGTCTGGGTAACCGACGTCATGGGACCGCGGGGTGCGGTGAAGGACATATATTTGGGATCCAGAGCGCCCCAATATACTCATACCCACCGCCTCCCATGATCTTCTCCTCCTCCTCCTCCTCCTCCTCCTCCTCCTCCTCCTCCTCCTCCTCCTCCTCCTCCCTCTCCTCATCCTCCTCCCCCTCCTACTACTCCTCCTCCTCCTCGTCCTCCCCCTCCCTTCCTCGACGGTAGGTATCGAAAAGAACGCCCGAGGCGTCCGTGGTGAGTGGTGCTCTCTATGTCCCACAGCTCCGAGGGGTCTGGGATCCTCCTCCCCCCTCTCGCCCGCCCGTCCAGCACCAACAGCATTGGCTCCACGGTGGACTTCTGGACCGGCAACGTGGACACTCGCGGGCGCGGGGCAGGCCGCACTGGGCAGCTTTAAAGACGCCTGTCCTCCTCCTCCTCCTCCTCCTCCTCCTCCTCCTCCTCCTCCTCCTCCTTCTCCTCCTCCTCTTCGCAGAAAAAGACACACCCCCAGCGCACAAACTCTCGGCGGGATCGGATCGGATCGGATCGGATCGGCTGCGCCAAGATGCACGACAAAGCCGTGCAGACGTCGGGCCGCACCGGGGCGCCAGAACACCGGAATCGAATCGGACTGGGCAAGCCGCAATCGATGTCGAATCGCCGGGGCGCACCCGATGAAATCCGTGCGGATCGCCGACAGTAAGTGTGCGTTTGTAGTGTCTGTTTTGCTGCTCCACGAGAAAGGCCGGTCCCTTCCGTGCCGACGCGGACATTGGCCTCCAACGCCGTGCGCAGGGGGCCCCAACCTCGAGCGACCACTCCGCGGAGATCGTTTCGAGGCCGTCCTAAGTTGGGCCGCCCTTGGCCACTCGAACTTTGAACCCCTGGGCCTTGGTGTCGCCGTCACGCCGACGCGGCGCGAGCACACGGCAGGTTCACGTCGTGGCGGCTTGCGCCGCGGTTGCTGACACCGCGTGGACCGTTCAACCTGGAACGACCGCGATTTCCCGTTGGCGCAGATCGTTCGATATCGGCCGATCCCAGATCGGCGTCGAACCCTGAGCGCCCAGGCCTGGCGTCGCCACCGCATCGACACGGCGCAGTCAGTCCACGTTCCGGCCCCTCTGCCCTCGGCACGCCCGAAATGGGGACGAACAAGCGCAGGGGCGATGCTCGACAGCCTGTGTTGTCCCCGGCAGCGGCGGCTGTTGACCGGAAGGCATCACCTGAAGACGGGGACCACTGTGTGCGTGTGTGTGCGAGATGAGTCCCATGCGTCATCGGCTGCCCCCATCAGTGCGACTCGATACGAGAAGTGCCAGTTTCCCCACTGATGGGAACGGGACTACACGATGCAGCAGCTGACTCAGGAGGCGGAGGAGGAGGAGGGGCCACGGCGGCAACCGCGCCCGCGGCGACACACCGACATGCAGCCCCTGCTCGAAATGGACAGAGAATGCTGTCGATCGTGCGCCCCTGGGGCCACCTGCGGGCCACTTGGAGGGCCTCCGACGGACCCAGGGGGCTGCGGAGGAGCTTGGGGATGGGGGCCTGGCTCGCTGGCCCTACGAGCTTTGGCATGTCTTGGACGAACGACTTGCTGGCCCATGCGACGGTTGTTACTCATGCCTTCCTCCGCAACCACAAACTGCCCCAGAAGGCTCAATCATCGCTTCGTGATCACCATTGCGATCGGCCAGTTTTGCAGACGGCCCTCGCGGGACCCCCGCCCCGCTAACCACCATTTGGGACTTCGAAATGGTGGTTAGGACCTTCGGGTCAATATGTTGATAATTCGAGCTGTTGTTGCGCACCGGCTTAAGCTACAATGCCCCAGCCACAAATCTGAAAATGTGGCTCCTCTTTTCTGCCGCCACCAAACAACTCTCGGAAACCATACCAAACTAAGGCACAACAACACGCAACGTGACTTACTCCAGGGACCACAACCCGGGATCCTGTCCAGCTTCGGGCACACAAACACACACACACACACAAACATTTGAAGGCGATCGCGGCCTCGCGCGCAGCGACGAGGCGGAGCCAGCGCACCCGAGCAACCTGGAAACGCGCGCGGCCAGCCCCTCAGAAGATGGGGCAGGGCTCCAAAAGCAAATGCCCACACACACAGACACACAGACACTGACACACACACACACACACACACACTCACGCACACACACACACACACACACACTGACACTGACACTGACACTGACACTGACACTGACACTGACATTGACACTGACACTGACACTGACACTGACACTGACACTGACACTGACACTGACACTGACACTGACACTGACACTGACACTGACACTGACACTGACACTGACACTGACACACACACACACACAGACACACACACACACGCGGACTTTGGGCGGTCGCGGCCTCGCGCGCAGCGACGAGACGGAGAAGGTCCCCGAGCGGAGAGCGCGCGCGGCTCGGTCGGCCACCGGGGAGCGCCTCGGGGTGGGAGGGCTCTCGCGTCGAGTGGTTCGGGGTCCGCTCCGAGGGTCGCGCGAGAAGCAGTCGGCCTGGAAGTGGCGAGGCGGGCGCCCGTGCCGCCGTGGCGGGCGGGCGGGGGCGGCGACTGGTCTTTCGAACACATCGCGAGAGCTCATCGCTGCGAAGATCGGCTTTGGGTACCACCCCTCCCCCTGAACACCCGCGCCCAAACTTTGGGAGGTCGGCGAGGTTTAGTGGCGTAACGTGCTTCGTCTGTCGTACAGGAAAAGGAAAGAATGCGATCGCTTCCCCAGCGGGTGTGGTGCTCTGCATCTCTCTCTCCCCGTAATTGATATTCGCCTCCCTGTCTTGGAAACCGAACGTCATCCTTTCTGATTCCCCTCTTGCTTTTCAGCCTGGCCTCCTGATCATCCCCATCCGCACCGTTCATCCCCGACCTCGTCCTCCTCCTCCTCCTCCTCCTCCTCCTCCTTTGCCTCCACCCTCTCCCTCCTCCTACTCATCCTTCCTTCTCATCATCAGCAGCATCATCAGCAGCATCAGCATCAGCATCAGCAGCATCATCACCAACATCATCCATCATAATCAGAATCAGAATCCTTATCATCCATACTTTCATCGGCATATTCATACTCACCGTCATCATCATCATCATCATCATCATCATCATCATCATCATCATCATCATCATCATCAGCATCATCATCGTCAGCAGCATCAGCATCATCGTCGTCATCGTCATCGTCATCATCATCAGCGTCAGCATCATCATCCTCGCCATCAGCATCATCAATAACATAATCATCCAACACCAGCATCATCATCACCAGCATCATCATCATCAACAGCATCAGCAGCATCGCCATCGTCACCACCATCACCCATCATCATAATCGATGTCATCATCATCAGCAGCAGCATCATCAATATCATCCCCATCACCACCAGCATCATCATCATCAACAGCATCACCAGCATCATTATCACCACCATCATCATCATAATCGTCGTCACCAGAATTGCGCGTCATCCTTTACCTCTCCCTCTCCCTCTTCACCCTCTTCTTGCTGATGCTCATCCTCCCACCGCTCCTCCTGCTGCTCGTCCTCCTCTCCCTCCTGCTCCTCACCCTCCTCCCAACCCTTCTGATCCCCCTTTTCCTCTTTCTCATGATCCTCCTCCTCCTCTCTCCTCCTTCCGCCTCCTCCTACAAACCCATCCTCCTCCTTCTCCTCCTCCTCCTGATCCTCCAGCTTCCCCCTCCTTATCCTGCTCCCCCCCATCTTTGTCCCGCTGCTGCTGATGCTCCTCCTCCCACCTCTCCGTCTTCCCAGAAAGCCTCCTCCTCCTCCTCCTCCTCCCACCACATTGCGCTTACCAGCGGATCCCAGCAAATTCCTCCTCCTCCTCCTCCTACTCCTCCTCCTCCTCCTCCTCCTCTCCTCCTCCTCCTCCTCCTCCTCCTCCTCCTCCTCCTCCTCCTCCTCCTCCTCCTCCTCCTGGTTCGCGACGCCGGAGCTCCCCGTCCTCCTCCTCCTCCCACTCCCCAGGCCTCCGACGGCCCACCATGTCTCCGAGCCTCTGGGCCCCTCGCCTCTCGACCGCCCCCTCCCCAGGACCGGCCCCTCGCCCCGAGCTCTGTACGGGCACTCCTGCGGGGCCCAAGACCCGCCCCCGGAGGCCGAAGGACTGCCTACCAGACCACCCCAACCCAGCCCGAAGACCCGCACTTCGCCCGAATTTCGGGTTGGGGGGGGGGTACAGGGCAGTTTCTAATACATAGGATTTTTGACATATTGGATTTTTAATGCATGACGAATTTATGCATGAATTTGTGCATGAACTCGTCGTTGTCTTTAGTACTAATTCCCTGCATGTTTAATGCACGATCCACACGCGGAGCATGTATTAAAAACGGCACTGTACCTACCAGACCACCCCAACCCAGCCCGAAGACCCGAACTTCGCCCGAATTTCGGGTTGGGGGGGGGTACGAGCTTCACGTGCTTTTATGTTCCCCGACCCCTCCACTACTGGAAATGGAGGACAAATCGGGGCCTTCGGTTTGGGTTGGGGTGGTTTTGGTAGGCGGTGGCCGAAGATGCCGAGAAACGTCAGGCTCGATCGACATTCTCGATCGAAGTCCTCGATCTATACTCCGCGTCATCACTCGGGCATCGGGCGGCCCTTCGAGACGACGCGGGCACCCTCGGGACGCTCTCGGCGTGGCACCCCGAGATGAGAAGACCTCCAGGAACCAACGACAACGTCCACAAAACAGCGAAAATCTCGGGGGGTCTGGTTCGAGTCTCTGGATGCCTGGGTTCCCCTCCTCCAAACGGTACCCCCCGAGCGCCAGGCCGGACCTGACATCCCAGGCTAAATATCGTGATTCCCCTTTGGGGAACCGCTGTCCTCATCATCATCTTCCCCCTCCACCTGAGACTTCCTCACGACTTATGATCCTCAAGCTTGAAAGTTGCAACAGCGTCTAAGATGGAGGGCGGGTGGTGTCATGTTGCTCCCGCCTTAGCGCCGCACACATTCGTCTTCAAAGTCTACAGCGGGTCCTTTTTCAAAGTGGTGCCCTCGCCTTAGCGCCGCACACATTCGTCTTGAGTCTGCAACAGATTCAAGGATGGAGGGCGAACCTTGTCAATGCGGCTCTCACTTTAGCGCCGCCAACATTGGTTTTCAAAGGTTGCAACAGCTTCAAAGGTGGAGGGCGGGTCCTTTTCAACAGTGGCTCTCGCCTTGGCACCGAGCACATTCGTCTTGAAAGTCTGCAGAAGTTTCAAAGATGGAAGGCGGCTCCTTTTCATGAAGTGAGTCTCGCCTTAGCAACGCGCGCATTCGGTTTACATTGCAATAAGTTCAAGGATTCGTAGGGCTGAAGTCTCAGGAATAGTGCTCTGGCACGATGTTGGATTAGCAGGATGCAACAGACATATTGATTCGCGGCGTTGACGTCCCAGACATGGGTCTGTGGCACGACTTAAGACTGTCAGGACGCAGCAGTCCCGTTGATTCGCGGGGTTGAAGTCCCAGGAACGGTGTTCTGCCAAAGTTGAAGTCCCAGGGACGGTGTTTTGCCACGGTTGGGGATTTTGAGACGATTGCCTTTCAACGTGGCACTTCCTGCAATGAAGATAAATGCTGCTGGTCATATGAAGAACATCGTTGATGCGTCTTGGATTTACACCGGTCCTCCTCCTCCTGCCTCCTCCTCATCTTCCTCCATATCGATCCTCGTCATTCCTCCTCCCCCACCTCCTCCTCCTCCTCCTCCTCCTCCTCCTCCTCATCCTCCTCCTCCTCCACCTTGTCATCATCATCATCACCACCACCACCATCAGCAGCAGCAGCAGCATCAGCATCAGCATCAGCATCAGCATCATCATCATCATCATCATCATCATCATCATCATCATCATCATCATCATCATCATCATCATCATCATCATCATCATCATCATCATCATCATCATCATCATCATCATCATCATCATCATATCATCGCAGCAGCATCAGCATCTCTGTCGACCCTCGCCATTCCTCCTCCTCCTCCTCCTCCTCCTCCTCCCTCCTCCTCCTCCTCCTCCTCCTCCTCCTTCCTCCTCCTCCTCCTCCTCCTCCTCCTCCTCCTCCTCCTCCTCCTCCTCCCTCCCCCTCCCCCTCCCCCTCCCCCTCCTCCTCCTCCTCCTCCTCCTCCTCCTCCTCCTCCTCTCTCCTCCTCCCTCCTCCTCCTCCTCCTCCTCCTCCTCCTCCTCCTCCTCCTCCTCCTCCTCCTCCTCCTCCTCCTCCTCCTCCTCCTCCTCCTCCTCCTCCTCCTCCTCCTCCTCCTCCTCCTCCGTCGTCTCCGCCTTGTCCTCCTGCTCCTCCCCCTCCTGCTCCTCCCCCTCCTCCTCAGTCCTCCAAGCTGTGCCCTCGGGGTGCCTCGGGGCGGGCCTGACGTCGAGATGCCCCTGCCCGCCCGGGGCTCGGCGCAGGCCGCCATGCCACGCCAGGGGCGGCCTACGGGCCGACCGGCAGGGGGGGGGGGCTCGCCATCCGCACGTCGGCCCTCGGAGGGGAAGGCTGCTCAGATCACCGCGGACGTTGCAGAGGGGATGCGGCAGGTTCGTGCCGTGACACCACATGGTTCAACCTTGAACGATCGGCGGCGGTTCGATCACTGCATCGTTCCACCTGGGCCAGTTCGGGGCCACTGGCGGCGTTCAACCTTGAACGCCCGCTCAGGGTCGCTGCCGCACCGGCACGGCACGACCCTGCCGTGCTCAGGCGACCGATATCTGGCCATGCCTAGCATATAAGATTGTTACAAATGCCTTAGGGGGTTAGTGAATTCCGCCAGGTGTGCTCCAGTCCGGGTCTATACCACCATGTAGCCCCACTTAGGGCACTTGCAACCCACTCAAAACCTGGGTTTGGCCAGATATAACCCACCTCCACATCCACCTCTGACCCCCCCTGTCGCCTCAGCAACCCCCGCCGTTATCCAAGTAGGATGCAACTCCTGACGTCAGAGGAGGAGGAGGAGGAGGAGGAGGAGAAGGTCGGGTGCGCACAAGAGGAGAGCCAGAAAAGGTGTTTTCGCGCAATGGCCCGAGGCATGTGCGCGGCTGCCGCCGCGGCCGCCTCGGCCGATCTCGCCGCCGCCGCCGCCGCGGCCGTGGCCGTGACCGCTGCCGCCCGCCGCCAGCCGTGGCCGTGGCCGCCCGCCGCCCAGCCGTCCGCCGCCGCGGGCCGTGGCCGTGGCCGCCGCCGTCCGCCACCGCGGACCGCCGCCGCCCGCCGCCGCAGGCCGCCGCAGGCCGCGCGGGCGGCGCCTTCGGCGCCGCGGCCCGCCGCCGCGCGGCGGCCCACCGCGCAGCGCGCGGCGCCGCCCGCGGCGGCACGGCCCGCGCGGGCGGCCGCCGCGACGGGGGCCATCGCCGCCCGAGGGCTGGGCGCCCGCAGGGTCGATGATGCTCAGAACGCGTGTTAGCCCCAACGCGTGTGTTTGTCCATCGAGGACCTTCGATGCGACGCAGGCGATGCAATGAGCTACTGGCTGGGCTGAGAGGGGTAACACACAGACACACACACACACACACAGACAGACAGACACACACACACACACACACACACACACACACACTGGGCTAACACACGTCCTGAGGATCATCGACGGGGGCACGCACGCCGCGGCGGCCAGGCCGTCTGCGCGCCCCCCGCCGCGGCAAGGCCGCGGCGCCCCGCGGCCGAGGGCCGCAGCCCCCGCTGCGGCGCGGCGCGGGGCGGCGAGTCGCGACAGGGACCGGCGGGGACGGCGGGGGCGGCGCGGGACACGGTCGGGAGCTCCTGCTAGCGTGTCGCGGCGGCGGCGCGCGGCGACATACGCTACGCCCGGCGACCTGACTGCGCGTCGCTCTCCGCTCCGCGGGGCGGGAGGCTGGGGAAAAGCTCGGGGCGCTGGCACTCGGCAATGGGGGCGTGGTTTCAGCGTGTCGCGCCGCAGCGCGGTGGACCAGAACCGGCGGCGCGACACGCTAACCAAAATCTCCTGCCCGTAAGTCAGCATCGAATCGGGAAATCGGATCGCGCCGGTATGTGCGTCAGATCGGGCCGCATCAGCTCGCAGTCGGAATCGAATCGCATCCGCCGCGCCAGGATGCACAACTAGCGCCGTGCAGCCAGCGGCGCCGCATCGGATCACCAAGGTCGTCGGGATCGAGTCGGGCCTGCTGTCGAATCAGATCGATCGGATTGAAGTGGACCCTGGGACGGCGGCGAGAGCTAGCAAGAGGGAGATAGAACCTGCGTCGCCTCCACGTGCGCACGTGGGCGGAGGGCGGAGGAGCAGGGAGGGAGGGGACCGAAGAGGGACGGGATAGAGGCGGAGGAGGAGCAGGAGGAGGAGGAGGAGGAGGAGGAGGAGGAGGAGGAGGAGCGATGAGAAGAGAGCGAGGGGGAGAAAGGAGGAGGAGGAGGAGGAGGAGCGAGGAGGAGTGGTGAGGAGAGCCGAGGAGGAGCGGAGGAGCCCAGCGCCGCGCACACACGGTGTGCGGCGCGCGGAGCTCTGCGCGCCGTCGCCTCGCGCCGTGGCCTCGGAGGGGGGCAGCTCTCCGGCCCGGGCTGCGCTGCGAGGGGCGCGGTGCGGCGTCGCGCCCCTGGGGGAGGAGGAGGAGGAGGAGGAGGAGGAGGAGGAGGAGAGGAGGAGGAGAGAGGAGGAGGAGGAGAGGAGAGAGGAGGAGGAGGAGGAGGGAGGAGGGAGGAGGGGGGGAGGGGAGGGGGAGGGGGGGAGGGGGAGGGGAGGGGGAGGGGGAGGGGGAGGGGAGGGGGAGGGGGGAGGGGGATGGGGAGGGGGAGGGGGGGGGACCTGGGCAGCAGGAGGCAGGGGCCCATTCCTCGCCTTCGTGTCCGGTGGCCACGCATGGGAGCCTCCCATACCACCTCGTCGGCTCACGCTAAATCGACGCTGAATCGACGCTAGATCGACTCTAAATCGACGCTAAATCGACAGCACATCGGCGCGATCTCATCGACACCCAGACGCTGATCGACGCGAATCGATGCTAAAGACGGATTTCAAAGGGTATACCAGGCTCCCATGATTTGCTACCGAAGGCAACAGGAGGCATAGGGGACACTATTCCTCGCCTTCGTGGGACTTCCGACTGGAGAAAGCATGTGGGGCCCAGCTCGGAGATGTGCAGCGGGGGGGCGCCCATCCTCGGTAGGGGTGCGTCCGAACAGCCCCCTGGAGGTGGATCGCAGTGTTTCCCGAGCTCTCTGACCGACAACCTTTGTTCGGGGGGTGGAGACCTCCAGGGTCCACGGCGAAAAATCATATGCAGCGAACGGCCACGACGGCGGCGTCGGCGGCGGCGCGCATCGCTTGCCGCCGCCGCCCCTGCTGCGTGCGCGGAGGCCGGGGGCCGCCCGCCCAAAGTGGGTCGGAGCACATGGGATCAGAAAACCGCACCGCATCGACGATGCACCCGCGCTGCAGCGGCGACGCTGGGATGGAGAGCACCAGGCTCCGGCCCTCTTCGGGGATGGGCAGAACCCCCTTTAGTCAAGCGTGGGTTAGTGAGAACGACCTCGGGCCCAAACCTGGCGGGCGCAAGCCTGGAAAATGTCGGCCGCGGCGCCCCCTCGAGAGCCGAACACGGACAATGCACGGATCGACGTGTCGGGGTGGGAGTTCTGCCTGCCCCCCGACCTGTGCGGGCAGCCCAGAGAATCGGGCCTTGACCAGCATCGGTGCAGGGTAGCCCTGCCAGGCGCAGCCTTCGGCCCACGCAAGACCCACCTTGGAAGGGGCCCTGGGACACGCAAATAAATACACACAAATGACCGGATTCCCCATTTTTCCCCATATTTTCTGGGTTCCTGTCTTCCCCCCCACCTCCCATATTTTCCTATATTTCCTGGGGAATCGTCGATTAATTGTGTCTGTGTGTTTTTTCCCCTCCTGAACCTTGCGGGCAGGAGCGACCCTTGGTGCAGGGCTGCACGGGATCCGCGGGGGGCTCGAGCCCAAGCGCGCAGGCCGCTCCTCCTGGGAGAGCCCTGCGGGCATGGGCCACAGGGCTCCTTGTGGGCGAAGGGTCCCCCCCCCTACGAGCAGGAGAGCTCCTCGGCGTGCCGGCCTGTGCGTCCGTGTCCTCCTCCGCCTCCTCCTCCTCCTCCTCCTCCTCCGCCTCCTCCTCCTCCTCCTCCTCCTCCTCCTCCTCCTCCTCCTCCTCCTCCTCCTCCTCCTCCTCGGCACCGCGTGGACAGCAAAGCTGCGAAGTGTCGCGGCTCTCCGATGGCGCGGGTCGCTCGCCATCGGCCGACTCCGGGCCGCTGGCGGCGTTCAACCCTGCACGCTCGCGCCCGGATTCGCCGCCGCGTCAACGCAACGCGATGCCACCTTCATCCGAACCCGGGGCCCCGGGATGGGCTCCTGGCGGGATCGGTGCGCACTGCCGTCGTCACCGCCTTCGTCTGTCTTCGCCACTCTCTGACCATCCACGCCCAGACCCCTGCAGTCGCGATTGCTTCCCACCGTGGTCCCTCAAAGGACTGGACCCTTCCTGGGTATAGGCTTTTCATGATGTGTCGCTTGTTGACGGTCCTGGGGCCAGATGATGGCCTCGAAAGGCCGTCGTGATCAGAGAGCCGAACCCACCCGAGATCCGTGGGATGAAGACGAGGAGGTTTTCTCCTGTCAGGCGAAGAAAACCTCAGCGTCAACACCTGAGCCGATAGGACAGCGGATGAGGACAGGAAGGATGTGAGAAAGGGTACACTCTCACACACACACACACACACACACACACACACACGTACACACATTTTTTTGCGTCGGCGGCTGGGCAGAGGGCGACTGCTCCAGCGGTTAGGCTAATTACAGGGGGCACACTGTATGCAAATTAGTGCCGCAGTGCACGAGGGAGGAGGAGGAGGAGGAGGAGGAGGAGGAGAAGGAGGAGGAGGAGGAGGAGGAGACCCCGGCGCGACGGGGAGAGAGGAAGCCGGGCCCGCTCAGGCAAGTCACCGGCTGCGGCAGGGGAAGCGCCGTGGGGGGGGAACCAGCGCCAGCACTGAGCTGCAGCTGGGGGGGTACGGCAGCCCAGCCAGACTGGTACACACACACACACACACACACACACACACACACACACACACACGCACGCACGCACGCACGCACGCACGCACGCACACACACACACACACACACACACACACACACACACGCACACACACACGCACACACGCAAGGGGCTCCATCCCCGCGTGCTCGGCGGCAATCGGTGGCCGCCTTCGAGCAGCAGCTCGGGCTCGCTCCTGTTGACCGCCCAGCGCAACGCTGCTCTCCCCTGCGGAAGCCCACGACGGGCCCGGCCCGTCGGCGGAGTGCCGCGGAGAGACCCTTCTGCCTCCTTCCTCCTCCTCCTCCTCCTCCTCCTCCTCCTCCTCCTCCTCCTTTTCCTCCTCCCCTTCCTCCTCCTCCACCTCCAGCTCCAC